CAGCTGATAAGGAGGGGGACCTGTGGCTTAATGGTTAAGACGTCTGCCTAAGATATAATACAGCACAGGTTCGAATCCCAATAAGGGTATGGCTAGCTGATGAGAGCTAAATACTTGAAATAGATCTATACTAGTCTCCCTTTATTTATTTATCAGCACAAATACAACACACACACACACACACACACACACACACATAAAATTTGGCAGATACTTTCTCTGACTCTGAATGAGGATTCACTATATTTTCCCACAGGAAATGTTTGTGCATTAATTACCATGGTTTATAATTAATGGCATCCAAGACATGATGCCACCAAAGTCATAAAATGGGCATCAATATTGACTAATGTGTATCATGATGTTTCAAATAAATACAAAAGTTGTGTGAAGGTGTCACTATACATAGATTGTCATTTCCCCTGTAGAAGATCTTACTTGTAATATTCAACACTGCACCAACTCAAAAGCTAATGGATTGTATGTATTTAGATATTCCCTACGAGCAAAAAACACATGGTTTAGTAAGTCAGGTCCAGTGACAGCACTATAATTTCGCTGACTAATTTTGGATCTACAAAATCTTGACTGTATTAATTTTAACAGCTGTGTGCCTGGAGTTCTCATATACTGGGAATAAGTAAACAATAATTTCCAAAGCACTTTATACATGTCTTTTGTAACTATATGCAATGTTGGAAATAAGTCCTTATAGATATAATTTATTTGACTTTTCTCTTATATTTCTTATATTTCTTCTTCACACACAAGCTGAGGTTTAGAAAGACACAGCCTAAAATTATTTCCTAAAGCTAAGGAATGACCAGTGTGGTCTCATGTGACAGAATTTATCAAATTGTTTTTTTATATATTTTTAAATTGGCCCTCATATCATCAGGTTCTCTTTATCCTGTGTCACTTTTCCTTGATGTGGCTTCCTGTAGTTGTATTGGACTACGACTACCAGAATTCTCTTGTTACCTTGGATCATACTGGTTGAAGTCTATAGGTGTTGTCCTTCATGATGGGGGAGAGCATCATTCTGTGAAAAACAGGACTATATTTAATCATTGCTTCACACATGAATAAGCTATTACATTACCTGCTGAACATCTTGCTGGAAAACACAAAGTTGAAGCCGCTGATGTAACCGAACCTTCCTGTGTTGCCAGATGCTCTCCAAGCGCCGCTGGTGATGTAAGACCTCATGGACCACATCTAAAACTTGGTGAACAGCCTTGGAATAATTTGCTGTGGCAGTGAGGGATTCTGAGTTTCCAGGACTCAAGGGACGTTGCAGGACATCCAGTAAAGCTTTTCCATCCTGACTTACCTGAAAGATACAGGAGGAGATTTCTGTCAAGCTGTTAAAAACTGATTGTACCAGAGAATTTTGCTTGTATACTGTTTGTAAAAAATCAAGTGCAATTTGGAAGGATTTCTTTTTTGCTGCTTCTGTAAATTTGGTTAGAATTGAATCTCTGTAAGACATTAGATAAATGATTTCTAAGATTAAAGTAAATAATTTGCAAATGCACTTTCATCCCAGGAAACCAGTTGTATTGTTTCTGGTAAAAATGTGTTTCTGGTAAAAATGTGCTTTTCTCTTATTGTTACATTGCTATTGCTTTTAAATAAAGTAAATTATTTTTATTTCACTCTAGTATGTCTCCCCTGAGACCCTGAAGTCATTAGGCAAACCTAAAATATTTTGATAAATAAAATATATTTGTAAAAAAAAAAAAATGCAGCCATGGTGAAAATGTCGTATGGAAGAATATAATACTCTTTAGCTTACTTCATTGTTATGTAGTAGTAGGAGCCGCAAAGGAAAATTTAGTTGTGATAATATTTTCTCATACATTTAAAAGTGAAACTCGCCTGATGCTCTAGCAATTCAGTGTCTTCTGCTACGTAATCCATTGCTTATGATTATCAATCATTAGTATTACGTTAATACTACATCCATTAAGTGCTGCCTCAGAGGAATCCATATTTAATTAATTAGCAAAAATTAGTTAACCAGCAGATATTACAACTGAAACAAGGCCTAGAAAATTCCCATATAATTAAGTTCTAAATCATATATTTCCTTCCTTCCTTCTTTTCGTATAAAATGTCTTGAAATAAAAGATCCGGATGAATCAGCCATATTATCTTTCAGTCTTGATAGGGACGTGTTCTCCAGAAGAGAGCAGACCTACAAATTCAGGGTTCTTCTGAATTCATGGCTCCTATTGCAATAGGAGGGCCTTTGCTCAAGTTGGTGTCCCAATTATGGCCTTATCTAGAACAGGGTACAGGTTATCCCCTTGTGATTTCCAAAATAGGGATTACTTGAAAATATCACTTAGTGCAAAATGTAGCAGCCCTATAGACTTACTAGATAATCATTATTATCATGTAACACCCCTCCTTCATTGACTAGTGATTAGTTTCTGCATGCAATTCAGAAGTGATTATTTATTTTCTTAGCCCTTTTGGTTTCTTGGGAGATGTGGGTTGAGTATCTACAGTATTCTCTCTGAACTAGAAGATGTCAAGCAAGCAAATTCATTCTTGAGCAAATGGTTCCAAGGTGTATAGATACTGGAGAATTTCGAAGACTATGTCCAATGTAACATTTGAAGCTAATTGCTTGGATTGCTTCACTCATCTTTCCGAGGACAGTATTTTTTACACCAATGGGATTCCTAAAACTGCTATTAGAATCACACAGCTTGAAAATGATTTTACGCTCTTAAGTAAAGTCTGTTGCAGCCTGTAACTCAGGCTACAAACCTATACGGATGTTTCTGGAATAAGATAATGAGATTATTTCTAAATACAAGCATGAATTGCACCGTCTCCTGAACTGAGTAAGAAACTTGATAGTACTAGGGAATTTTTTTTATAGAAGATCCATTAGCTATGCTATTTAATATATCAGCATGGAATGAAAAACCAGATGAACACGTCATATAAATTATGTAGCTCATAACCCTCAGTACTCCTTTTGCATATTCAACCATCTCTGTTAATTACATTGTGAAATCTCCTAGTGATTATTAAAAATCCGTCTAGAAACACTCACCTCAGTGTAAGCCTGAGTGACCTGTTCATAAAGAGACTGATGATGATGGATGGCCAATTCCAGGTTTTGCATTTCCGAGGGGAGACCTCCTTCACTGCACATTTTGCACCAGGCATCTACACCAGACAGAAACTGAAAGAATTGCAAGAAGGACTTACTTAATTACCAAAAACCTAACAGCTTACCTAATTACCAAAATAAAAAATAGCTTAAAAAAACCATCTCTTTCCACCATCGCTAAAAAAAACTAACAGCTATCAGCAATAAAACATGGAACAATAACAAAAGTAGCATAACACAGCACAGCCAGCCAAACTATAATACCATTTTGTAGTTGAAATATGGTCCAGAATAAACATCGCTTCATAATTCATTTGATAGACTCAAGAGGGCTCTAGGCTTGTTTTTCATTAAATTCTCTAGTTCGCAAACAATTTTGGACAACTTCCAAAATTTAAAAATCATCTGTAAAAATAGTAGGGCAAGGATTTTTCCCCTACTCCCCCACAAAAAAGAAAAGCTAATAAAAAGCTATATTTTTTTACTACCCTTAAGAAAAAAAACATTATTCTGAGGACAAAACAAAAATAGGAATTAAATTTTTGTGAAAGGAAACTAATTGCTTTAGATAATTGCTGTTAGTTTAGGAGAATTTATTATTCTCCTAAACTAACATAAGGCAGCCAAAAGATTATCTCTCTCTCTCTCTCTCTCTCTCTCTCTCCCTCCCTCTCTCTCTTCCCCTCACACACATACAAAAATACAAATTAATTTTTAAAACAAATTATAGTTTTTATTTCTTTGAATAACTTCTTACTTCCTACTCTAGATGCTCAAGACAGAATGGTTTATCTCAGCATCCAAACAGTCCAGATAATATTTGTTTGGGAGCTAGAATATAACTCTGATGCCTCTGGTGACTGGAGAAATTATGAAATTCTGCAACGTTGGACATAAAACCAAAGTCCAGAAAAAAGAGGAAGCTCAGGGAAAGAAAAAAAAATGATTTAAACAAAATATTTGCCAAGTTTGCAAAGTAGATTTTATAACCATTGTGGTATTGTCGTTTTTGTGGTAAAGGTGACTCAAAAAGGCCATTAATGGGCTAAACTTGAGCCACTGTCTCATTTGAGGGGGGTACTGCTGCCTCTGCAAAGTAGCCAGTGAAATATTTGAGGTAAACCCTGTAACAAATTTAGTGCACCATCCAAAGCAGAGGAAATGCTTTCAGAAGTGGAACAGGAAAAATATGCCCAGAGGTCACTTTGCCAATAAGTGAGAAATCCTAAAAGGTGATATACGTTTTTGCCCTCCCTAAATGGAAGCTGACCTGTTATAATGAGTCCATATGAGCTCCTTGCCACATCTTAATTCATCAGGTTACACCACTAGAATCCAAAGCTAACATTCAAATGAAGCACAGACATCTTACGTATTAGCAAGCTAGAATAAATTTTTAAGACAAATGGGTTTTCAGGTATTAAATAGTAGATCCATAATCTATACTTCATAATAGATTTTAAGATCACAGATCAACTATAAGAAATCACTTGTGCTGGCTCCAAAGTCCTACATCCATGGCATATGTACACTTTGATCACATTTATGACCTTGCCTTCCTTATATATCAAAAATCTTGATCAATAATTATTTTATTTCAAATGAAACATGACACACTGATACTCCTCTTCACAATCTCACACTTAAGTGCACTTCATTATGCCTTACTTCATATCCTGTTTCCACAAAAATAAGACATCCCTGGATAATAAGCCCAATCGGGCTTTTGAGCGCATGCACTAAAATAAGCCTTCCCCTAAAATATTTAAATGCATGCACAGCTGGTCCCTGCCATTTCCTGGGGAGGAAGGAGGAACATGCCCCACGCACTCACACGCACCTGCCATCCCTGCATCTTGTGGAGGCTGCTCCTGGAAACCCTAGCTACTGCACTCCTTCCCTTAGTGGCAGCCACAAAAAGAGTGGCAGGCCCAGTGACACTAGGGCTGTCAAGAGTATGCCAGAAACAGAGACAGAACTTCTGGCCCTCTCTGAATCAGCTGATCCATGAGCCGTGGACTGAGGTTAAGGGTCCTCCTGCACCTCAACAATAATAAGACGTCACCAAAAATAAGGCAAGGTGCTTATTTCAGGAATCAAAAGAAAATAATACACTGTCTTATTTTCGGGAAAACACAGTATTAAATTATCTACTATTCATTCTCTTGTGCTTAAGGAATTTAATAGTATAACATGAAAAAAATAGCCAATAGCTCCCACAGTTGAGAAACATAAAAAAAACTGTAATACAAAGTTTCTAATCTGCTTTCAAAGTGTCTCACCCATATCTGGCCCCTGAAATGCTATGCTCCCTGAGGTGAATTATCTCAAACATTCTTATCCCAAAATAACATATTGTAGGTTTGCAATGTCTAATAGAATAATCAACCAACGGACCAATGAGATTAAAAAGAAAAACTCACTTCAATTTTATTCAAGAATAAAGTCCTCCTTCATTCAAGATATTAACACATTCTAAATAAATTAGATAATTAAAATAAACAATGAGCATTGTACATGTAAGAAATTCATCTAAGTAGTTGCTAGGCATTGACAATGACTGGATGGCACATAATTAATCAATAACCATTCAATCAATGATTATTGTACATGTATTTGATTATCTATTGTCTCTCCTAACAGAGGAGTAGATATGCAACATAAGATTATTTCAAAAGTAAAAGCATTCAGCAATAAAAATTAAACTGGGACATACATGTATATATTCAGTTACATCTGAATAGCATGGATGAACAACACCAGCTTGTGCTATGATCTATCTTGCTTTTCTTATGGAGACAATTTCCAGTGATTTAAACCAGAACCAATCACTACCATTCTAGGATCTGCAGCCTCATCAGATAAATGGATTTCTGTTTACAAAGATATTGCAGATAAGTTATGGAGAACTCTGATTCATGAGGAAACGCTGAGGGGAAAGAAGAGGAGAGCAAGAAAGCCCGAGATCTTTCTTGTGAATATCCTTACAACCTCAAAGGATTAAAAAGGCAATTGAGATTATATTTTGATTGAATTGTCCAAAGGCTTCCTATTCTCAATTATTCAAGACCCCCATGTTTGGGCTATTGCTGTTATTAATTATGTGACAATGTTAGTAAAGGTAAAGAAAAAAGGAAAACAAATGATACTTTTGGAGGAGAGACAGGGAAGGAACTTGTCCAGCAATAGCTGAGCTAGTCTTCTTTTAAAAGATGCTCCTAATGGTTCTCATATGCTTCCAGGCAAAAATATTTAGAAGTTCAGAAGAACGTTGTTTTCTAAAAAGATAACGGGTTCAATTCTCCACAATTTATCTACAAAAGAATCTTAGTGGGAAAACTAAAAGCAGATCTCTGTATGAATTTATTAATTCATAGAGAGTGCACCTGAAAGTCCAGACAAACAACACTGAGCTAGATTAATTAATTGGTTTAGTATAAAATACTATAGATTAATTTATTCTTATGATTGGTCTTCCCTTCCACAATTAAAAACATTCCACATTCTCCAATTACTAATAGCAATAGCAATAGCACTTACTATATGCCGCTTCATAGTGCTTTACAGCCCTCTTTAAGCAGCTTATACAGTCAGCATGTTGTCCCAAAACCATCTGGCTCCTCATTTTACCCACTTCGGAAGGATGGAAGGCTGTTTCAACCCTGAACCACTCAGAATCGAACTCCTAGAGTGAGCAGTGAGTGAAGCTGCAGTACTGCATTCTAACCACTGTGCCACCACAGATCAGTGAATCCTGAACACATTCCTGAACGTTCCTGTCCAAACTGAATTTCAGTGGCCACTAGCTAACTAATGATTTTCAGTTTAAAACAAACAAAGTAATTTAAATGCAATGAGCTCCAAAAAATCATTGAATGGTAAAATATCCTACTGATTTCAGTGGATGTTATCCCCTCCCCCTCCAAAAGAAATTTGAAATGGATTATGGAGTATTATAAGTTAATAGCAAAAAAATCTTCTGAATCAAATTTATGATCCATTAATTATTCTCTCCTTGTTAATAAACTTTATATTACATCTTATTTATATTAAAGTGAACTTTTTGTACATAAGAGTATATCATATGAATTTGCCAGAGTGTGCACAGTGTGACTATTTTGAGACAACCCAGGATCAAAATACAGTAAACAGAGGTTTGTCTTTCAAATGGTGGTTTATCTACAAGGAATATATACATACACGTACTAGACAAAGTCAGGCAATCAATCATCAACTACAGCATGGAAGCACACATGGAGAGAGAGGAGGGGAGAGACGCCCTTACAGGACCTCTCTTATATATACAGCCAATTAGTCGTATCAGCCCAAAAACCTTGCTGACTTATTCCCTGCCTTATATTACTGTAGCAGCTGGTTATCTCTTAAAGTATTTCCCTGATACTCCTCCCCTTTAAAGCTGAACAGCTGAATGCTGCTTTCTATTTCTATTATGTCCTCATCTTCTGCTTTGGTTTCTACTCATCCACCTCTCTTTGCAGGTACTTCACCATCTTTAACTTCAAGAGAGGTAGTTTGTGCTATTCATCCAAGACACCACAAAACCTCCTCCCTGATGAAAGCCATGATGCTTGCTTCTGTTACAAACACCAACACTAACAAACAACAATGTACAGCCCCTTTGACTCTGGTGCAAACTTCCACTTGGGTTCTCGTCTCTCTGGTTTCTCTAGTCATTTTGACCTTCTCTCTGGATTGGGGCCATAACCTGTCAGAGTGCACACAGTGTGACTGTTTTGAAATAACCCAGGAGCAAAATGAAGTAAACAGAGGTTTGTTTTCAAATAGTGGTTTATATACAAGGAATATATACATACACATACTAGGCAAAGTCAGGCAATCAATCATCAACTACAGCACAGAAGCACAGAGAGAGAGAGACATGCCCTTACAGGGCCTCTCTTATATAGACAGCCTCTTAAAGGCGTAACAGCCAAAAACCTTGCTGACTCATTCCCTGCCTTATATCATTGTAGCAGCTGGTCAGCTCTTAAAGTATTTCCCTGACAGAATTTATATATGATAAGAACAATGATAATTAACTAGATTGAGTTCACTTCAGTTAGATTCAGATAAAGCAGTTGAACATTTCAACCTAAAACTGTGGGATTTCATGAAAAAAACACTATGTCCATCTTGACCACAAAGTTGAAATCTAGTTGTGAAAACTTCTCTGAGTAGACACAAAGCGGCCAAAACATCACAAAAGAATGTGCCAGAAAATGGCAAAGTGTTAAAGGTTGGTATAAACATAATGGATGCAAACATGAAAAAAAGAGAGAAAATTTTGGTCTTATCAGATAAAACTATATTTTTTGGAGTATAAGATGCACCTTTTTCCCTCAAAAAAGAGGCTGAAAATCTGTGTGCATCTTATACACTGAATACAGCATTTTTTGCCTCCCCAAATCCCATCCCCTTCACCAAAATGGGTGTGCATAGTTTGTAGGAGGCTTTCAGAGACCTCCTGGGGGCTGGGGAGGGCAGAAATGAGCAGAAAATGGGCCATTTTTTGCTTAATTTTGCCCCCTAGCCCCCAGGAGCACTCTATAAGCTTCCTAAAGGCTATCCATGCCCGCTTTTTGCGAAAAACAGCCCAATTTTTTTTGCTAGTTTTTGGCTCGCCCAACCCCACCAGAAGCACTCTACAAGCCTCCTAATGGCTAGTCATGTCCATTTTTGGGGGGGAAAATGGGCCAGTTTTTGCAAAAAAACAGGCTGTTTGGGGGAGGTTTGCAGAGTGCAAAAACTTTTTTTTAAAATTTGCCTCTTCAAAACCTTGGTGCGTCTTATACTCCAAAAATACGGTATATATTTTATATCATATATCACCTTAGTTTACACACGTTATGCTAAGATGTGTTCCTTTCAAAAATATAAACACTGATGAATCCAAGAACTTCATCTTTTCTTTAAATAAAAAAAGAGTCCTAGAGAGTACAACAGGTGTGACAAAGATACTGGAGAGCATTGGGAAAAAAAGTTACCTAAATATTTAATACTAGAGCTCTGTTGTACTCTTCTTCTTCATATATCTTAAGCATTGATCTATTGGACAAAGAAAAGCTCTCTTATTGGGATCTCTTTGTAGGCAATAGTGACACCATGTGGGACAAAAGATAGGAAAGCAACCCATGCTGATTTCTATTGCCACAAACTGTCAAGGAAAAAAGTGAACAACAGAATATTTTTAAAATATCTTTTAATTCATTTTTTTCTTTAAAAAAAAAACCGCAATTGAAAATAACCGAAATAGCAGCTAGAAGTTAGTTAGAGCTTCTACCAAATTCTGTAAGATATATACACGCTATACACAGAAGTTCAATATTACTAGGGCAAAAGCATGCACAAACTAACCAAACCACTGCTGTAGTAATAGATGTGTATGTACTCATCTTTGCATTACCAACACCTACAGTATATGTTGAATATAGTAACTAAACTCAATCATTGTTTTGCTTGTCTAAAGAATAAAGTACAGCATATTTATTGACACATGGATTTTAAATTAATCCTGCATGAATTTTCAACTTTCCATAACAGATTAAAAAAAAAAACCAGCCTAAACCCACTAAGTAGTTTAGCATGCAGCTGTGAAAAGAATCCATTTGTGTGGCCATGATTTGTTCTCTTAACACTCCACTCACACGGCACTCTTTCTAGTCTAAGCCAATAGAAAAAGAGATACACTGTATTGAACAGGCTGGAGGAAAGATTTTTTGGGAAGGGGGAGAGGACCCCAATGTTAAACCTCAAAACAATAGCCAACTCATAGTTCTTAAAACAGTTGGAAAATGCAAAGAATACACCAATTGTATGAATGACATTGATGGTGATTTAAACTAGATCAAAGCCAAAGACAAGGCAGAAAGGCATCTGACACAGTAAAAATTGCATACCTGTTCAGCCTTCTGGTGAAACACAGCAGACATGGCCAGGATAGTGCTACGCTCATCCAGTGCTGCAGCAAAGCTCTTCCACTCTTGATCTAGCTGTGTGGAAATCTGCTTAATTTGTTGAGATGCATAATGGCCAGCCTCTGAAAGCCTGGATGCAACGGACATGATGCGATTTATATTCACGTAGGCATTCTGAAGAGACAAATCAAATAGGAGAACTGAAATTTATACTTTAGTACAATTAATAAGAAAAACCATAGTTTCCTTATTGCTGTTCACCTACAGACACAATCTTGCCAGACTAAAGCTACTATCTGCATAACTATAGATATACTTTGTGAATTGCTAGGGAGGGGCCACTTTAGCCCTTTCCCTGTCTATCAGACTTTCTAAGCTCCTTTGACTCTTTGAAAAGCAGCCTCTTAGAACTCTAGACATTCCATCACATAATCCGATAAAATATTTTACAAGGAGACAGTTGGGGAGGGTAAGAAGAACATTTACCATCAAAGTAGCATTGAAAAGACTTTAAAAGCCAAGCTGAATAGCTAACAAAATCATATGGTAAAGGTTGCATTGCTTGATGCAACATGTAATAGATCTGCAGATAAAATATTCAGTATCTGAATACAGTTCCTATATGAGACTTCTTGGGAATGGTCCATATGTATGGATTTTATCTCCCAGAATTCCCCATCCAGCCTGCCAATTGGTGAGAATTTGGAAGCTGAATTCCACATGTCTGGTGGGCATTGAGATTGGAGATGAACATTCTTTGTGCAGTGTTCTCTGCATCTGAAGATAAACCTGGTTAAAAAAGATTGGTTGGGACATTTCTGATTTAGTGTACCATTTTCATGTTGAAATATTTAAATAGCCCATCTACAGCATAATGTAATACATTCTAGCAATATGCAGGGGTCCCCAACCCCTGATCCATGAACCCGTACTGTGCCGCAGCATGTTAGAAACCAGGCCATACAAACAAGCGAAGGCCCATCTGCAGGAGCAGGCAGCACATGAAACCACACCCCCTGTGGTCCATGGAAAAACCTTTCTCCTCAGAATCTGTCCGTGGTGCCCAAAAGGTTGTGGGGGGGGGCACTCTTCTAAAGTATATAAATTATAGGCACCAATAGGTCATGCCAACAGATTTCAGTCTATGTGTTCATAAATTCCTATATGTGCAAAAAAGAGGTTTTTGGTACAATGAATATAAAATACTTTAATTGAACTTAGTCTTTCTTTTTCCTGATTTATAGTAAATATTTGCCCTGCTATAGAAACAGAAAACACAGAGCCCATTACCAGAATAAGCCAATTATTTCTGCAAAAAGAAACTCTTTTTCCTGATTCTAGAAAGAGAGCAGTATTAACATGATGTAAACTGAATTGTTGTTTGTTTTGAAGCATTTGCCCATTCCTGGGGGCCAAAGGGATTATGAAAACCCTAGGGCCATTCAAAGAATTATAGGATATTTGAAATAGTTTCTTTAATATACTGTGCATATCTCATCAAAGCAAACAATGATAAAGTGGAATATTGTAAAATTTTATGGAATCACATGAAGGAGTTAAGCCAAGAGTATCAGGACAAAAGAATTTATATGATTAAAATGAAATTGTAAAAAGATACTACATTAATGGAACACTGTAATCCTTTCCTATGCTCTATAACTTCAGGAAGAAAATAGAAGTTACTCTAATTTTTGGAAAATTGGTTTGATAAAGGGTGGGCTAATATAGGCATGTTTGAAAACAGCATCCACACGTTTCTAAAGTCACGACTTGCCCTTCCAAAGGGTTACATCAAAGCATAAGCCAGTTTCTGTAAAACAGTTATGAATAGCTTCAATTAGAATAAGCAGCATGTGGAGTGAGCTATTTAAATATACAATGGCAATCAGGGTGATTTGTGCTTAAGGAGGAAAATGTAACTTGGTTTAGGCAGCTAATTAAATTAATGAGATCCCCAAATATATTTTAAAGCCAGTTTGCCTTTTTAATAACATATTAATCTATAGATGTAATACTGCATTATGGTAATAGAAAGTGTTTCTGAATAACCCTTAATCTACATATTGCTATATAATATTTAGTGACTTTGAATTCTTAACGGCTACCAAAATTTAATTTCACACTATAGCTGTTTTATTAATGGGGATATTGCTAAAAGGTTTCTAAGAGTTCAGCTGATATCTTAATTCAGAAGGACTATTCCAACAATCACAACTCATATGCTGGATTGTAACAACAATGCAACAAGTAAAATGTAGAAATAATTGGTCATTCAGCAATGTGGTTTATGCAAAGTTGTGATTGTATGAGGAATTTCACTGAGCCCTCTCTGGTGTATATTCTGAATGCGTTTAACTCTCATGACTAAATGAGTTGACTTCTAGAGTGCTGAAAATATTACCTGAAATCCTCTTATTTTAATTTGATATGAGAACAATTCGTCTGCTTTATTAAACAAGTGGAGAACATTTTGAGTACAACAGTAGCTGGAACTACACAAACTGCTATTAAATGTTAATGATATGTTATGTCTTATTGATGTTTATGTATTTTCTATATTTATGTATTTTCTATAGCAAATTTGTTGAATCTGGACCGATCTGATCGAGGGGTGTATGCATTTCATAAATATAAATAATCTATGAGGTTATTGAATTAATTAGGAGTAAGTTATACAATTTCCATGGAAGCTAATGTTTCTATTAAATTTGTAGTAATTAGGATTTCAACTTTTGCTTGAATGCTTTTAAATATCTAGGAAGAGTTATTTCATGGAAAAATGTTACTTGATTAAAAGTCCCACTGAAATAATGGGAAAAATAAAAGCAATACAATGAATATAATTTCAAGGTTCTTCTGTTTATTTAGAGGTTTCCTTAGATGGATACATTTATTTTAAGCATATTGATACTTTAAAAATATTTTCATAAAGAACCTAAACTAGATTTTCTTAGTTATTTTTATCTTTAGGCACATATGACTTTTTCAATGGAACATAATTTATTGTGAAAAAAGCATTATGGTCATAATCAGAAAGTTATGTGACTCCTTCAACCCTTAAAACATAACAAGCTCCTTGCTATAATCCAGTTTTGAAAACTGCCCCAAACAAGGTGAGATTACTTTAAATCAAAATCTTGTCAGGATTTTTAAAAAATAAAAATTGAGTTTAAATAGAAATTTGGGGTTGCATAAAATTGCAAAATGATATTTCTTTCAATTACAACATTTCTTGATTTCACCATTTACTTCAGACGCAGTAGCACAATTTTAAAGTCTCAAATTGTTAGCATAATTGAAACAAAAGTTGTAGACTTAACAACTTTAAGTCTATATATTTTTTTTTAAAAAAAGAATTAATGAATATTGCTAAGTGGATATTGTTTTGCAAGAAATTTGGAATAGCTAGCTGGAATATTCCATATCAATCAATAATTGGCTAAGAACTAAAAGAATAACTTAAAATGAAACTAATTCAACAACAGATTATATTTCATCGTTCTTGACACCCCTCCAACCCACAGAATGGTTGAAAAGTCAGCTATCAGCCTCACTTTATTGGCAATATAAAATGTGTGAGTAATATCGCTTACTTATATAATGTGTACTTGTCTTACTGCCTATTTTGGTTTACACTTATTAATATTGCATGCCAAAGTTTTCAGTAAGGATGTTAATGTACTGATTTACATTCTTGGGTGACCAGTCTGTACCTTCTTTCTGTTTATGCTCACAACAACCAAAAAAAATAAAACCAATTCAACATTTAAAAAAACCAAAAATGGAAACATGATGAAGTGAAGGCCCGGGTGAATAGAACAGTTTCCATGCAGTGGGGGCTGTCCCCTGTTTTTGATTTCTATTTTTCTTTTTCTTTTCTCTCTTTGTTTTTGAATATTAAAGCAATAAAAAAGAAAACTTCAATACACAAAGATTCTTTTTTTTAAAATTCATACCGAAGTTAAAAATAAGCATTTAATTGACTAAGTAATCAGAGAAGGCATTCGTCATATTTGACATTTTCATTAGAAGATGGTTATTAAGTAATACAAACAGAAATCACATGTGTATAACTTTACACTAGTTGAGTATTACATTTTAATTTAATATTAAAGGCATCCTATATATGTCTGGTAAAACGTTCATTGGATATATATATATATATATATAAG